ATAGCATTTCCCATGCCAGTCCAGCAGCTACCAAACAAAATGGGGTTCTAACCCCTCTAGTACAATTTTTTGTTACAAATGTGCAAATTCCATGAATCTTTATAAGGGCAACCTAATGGCAGGCTGAAAGCCATTTTCCATTCCTCCATGAAAATGTTCTTTATTACCCTTTTTCTCCAATATGACACAGGAATCTCAGTATGCTGTTACTGAAAGCACAAACAGAATGCTAGGATTGTCATTATGCAAACTATATTCCTAAGTTTCTCCTCCAAGGAGCTGTAGGTAAATCCTTCCCTAATTTTTTTCCCTCCTACAGATGGCAAAACAAGCAATACATTGCCACCTGATTTTGCAATTTAAAAAAAAAAAAAAAAAAGGGGAACTGGAATTTTCAGGGAAATGGAGCTTTCTGAATTACACTCCAGAACTAATCTTTACTCTGATCCAGTAAGTTCATTTTATTCTGCAGTTGTTCAGGATTCCCAGCAAAGTCAGCAGGACCTCAATATGCAGAAGAATGGCAAAGTCAAGCTCATATTTAATACCTGTTGTCTTTGTGTTTATAGACTCGGTGCAGTGATAGAAAAGTTTAATACTCCACCTGGGAACCCATCATCCTGCCTCTCCTGATATCCACGGATGCAATTCTTGCCACAGCAATAGGGAGGGCTGTGCATACCTTGGGTCAGAGTTTGACATCAGGTTCAATTCAATCTGGAAATGCCTTTCAGACTTTACCTTAGCTTCCACTGAAGCTTATAACCTCTATTTTACCTTAATCATTTTGAAAGAACCCAGCCATAGAAATACTGAGCTCTGGCAATATCAATAATTTACTCTTTAACTCATGTAAACAATGCTGCCATTTGCAGGCACAGCCCAGCATGAACTTCGACAAACCCAAAATCCACTTCCTCCTCTTCCCCAAAACAGAGACAACATCAGCTCAATATGACATCTTGAGCTAAAACATCTCCAACAACTTGCACAAGAACTTACTTCAATTTTAAGAAGTCTAACACTTTCCACAAACATTGCTGGTGATCACCACAGGCAAAATACAGTCCGTGATTTCACTCCAGATATACTGCCCAGAAAGACCCCAAACCAGCAATAACACAGGCTGGGAAAGTCTGCCTGAAACTAATGTTGATTTTCTGCATAGACAGTTAATTATGGCAAAGAAATGAGGCAACACACAAGTGAATGGAATAATGTCTTTCAGGAAGGCATGTTTTTCTTACTGTGCTCCAGGACAGGTTGTCTGAATTCCGAGTTCATCATAGTCAAAAATACAGTAGCCCACACTACTGTTCATTGTTAAAGACCCGGCTTGCCACCACGTCAGTATGGAGAAACAAGTAAAAAGGAACTTCCAGTGGAGGTTAAAGATTTATTTTTTTACCCTGATCTATTAATTAATAAGACACAACTTTCTAGAATTAAAAGACCTTTAACAACTCTTTAAGGACATAAAGAGCAAGAAACACATGCAGCAGAGCACCTCTGGTGTGCTATTGTGGTCAATGCTGGCTCTTATGATGGCTCTTTTATTTACATATAAATGCTTGTTGCTTGACAATTTAGATAAAAATGTTACTGCTGCTCTGTATGTGCTGTAGATTGAAGGTGTAAAACCACTGGACTAATTAATGGAGTCTTCACACATCATATCTTGTTAAAGAAGAGGTAACCCACTCAAATGTGATGACAATTAATCAAAGCTACAGCACCTGAAGGATGTACTTGTGACAGAAGTCTAACTTGTCTTTCTGAGTTGGATGCCAAATTAAGAAATGATTGAAGCTGTTGCCTTCCAATAATGAAAATTATGGATTTACTGTAGTCACCGAAAAATATTAAAACTATGCTAAACTCTATATTTCTGTAACCCACCAACAAAAAAGAAACATTGATAACTAGCCAGGGATCCTTAATTAGGATGCAACTTGCAATCCAGCTGCACATAAAAGCCTACTTCATAAATTTCCCTAAAAAGTTGAGTTTGTCATTCTGTTCGTTCTTATCTTAATTTGTAACTTTCAAGAAAAGTACACGTTGCCACAAATGCCATTGTAGCCATCTACAATGAAAAGTGATGAATAGGGGCACTGAGAGATAACACTCACTCCTGCTATGCTCCTAACAGGTGTAGATGGGGGTTTCTGGTTTGTTTTACTGTTTCATCATTAACATGTGCAATTAAATTGAAAAGCAATTTTAGCGTCTTTTGTATTCAGTGCATGCACAATCAAAGGTATACATTATTGAATTATGAATTAGTTGTGCCTAAACAAATCTTTGGAGGGATAAAGTAGGAAGGAATGTAAATACACATGTAAAAATAACCTTCCTACTTGAACTGCCTATTTAAATTTACACTGGTGTTTCCATGAAAGTGAGGGCTTGAAACCACCAAATAGCTCCACCGTTAGCCCATCTGCCGTCTCAGGGGTCCTCACTGCTCCTTCTCTATACCCTCAAGGACACTGAGCTCATTTACAAGCCATTACCTAAGGAGCAACCGCTAATTATAGCAAGTCTGCAAAGTTACATGACGGGTTTGCGACTTGGTCACAAGCTAAGACCGCCAAACTCATTTCACTTGTGACCAGAGAAAGGTTTCAGTGTAGACTTCTGGAGGTGGCAGCCTGGAGCACAAGGACACCACATCACCAGCCAGGCTCTTAATTATGAGCTCTTGTTGCACAGGATGTTGAAGACAGTAAAAGAAATCTAGGGTTTTACCTAAAAATAGGAGGTTTCCTGCTAGGCCAAGTTTTCTGTTTGCAGAATTTAGGTATTTTATGCTTAATTACTTCATGGTTTATAGGTTTATTTACAAGATTATGAGAATGGAATTCATAAATATACAACGATTGTTTACTAGTTAGTTTGGATTACACATAAATATGCTGTGCAAGCTTAGCAAAAACCATTTTCCCCAAGCTGAATCAGAACGTTCAAACTGAATTTTCAAATGTGTCTCTCTGCCTTATCTAAATTCCAACATGACATATAATAAATAGCTTCTCATTTACTACGATCATAAAAATTTAAACAGCCTTGAAATAGTTGCTACAATACAGGGGGAAATGATCAAATCTAGGTTCCAAATACCCACTTAAATAGCAAAACTATTTTGATATTTAAGAAACAACACATAAAGATGCGTTGTTGCAGGAAAGGCTTTTA